AAAAAATTACAAAAAGATGTCTACAACACGTGGTGTTCCCAAGCGGTCACCAATCTAAGTACTAACCAAGCCCGACGTTGCTTGACTTCGGTGATCGGACGAGAACCGGTATTTTCAACGTGGTATGGCCGTAGACAAGAATAGATAATTTATATGGAATTGATAGGTTATCGTGCGGACCCGTGATATTTGAGAGAATATTTAAAATTATACAAGTAAAGATTGAAACGAGTGTTAATTATTAAATAAATTCATTGAATAAAATTTTTAAAAACAATATATCATGTCAATTTGCTTTGAATATTATTTTTCGAAAATTGGCGTCAAGGCATCGTTCTTCTGATGACTAATTTTTTAAACAAAAAAAAAATTACAATAAATTCTTTGAATAAATTAAAAAAAAAAAATATATCATGTCAATTTGCTTTGAATATTATTTTTTCGAAAATTGGCGGCAAGGCCTGGTTCTTCTGATGACTCATTTTTTCACCAAAAAAAAAAAAAATACAAAAAGATGTCTACAACACGTGGTGTTCCCAAGCGGTCACCCATCTAAGTACTAACCAAGCCCGACGTTGCTTGACTTGGGTGATCGGACGAGAACCTAAATTTAAAAAAAAAAAAAAATCATGTCAATTTGTTTTGAATATTATTTTTTCGAAAATTGGCGGCAAAGCATCGTTCTTTTGATTACTCATTTTTTCAAAAAAAAAAAAAAAAAAAATTACAAAAAGATGTCTACAATACGTGGTGTTCCCAAGCGGTCACCCATCTAAGTACTAACCAAGCCCGACGTTGCTTGACTTCGGTGAAAAAGAGGTCTACAACACGTGGTGTTCCCAAGCGGTCACCCATCTAAGTACTAACCAAGCCCGACGTTGCTTGACTTCGGTGATCGGATGAGAACCGGTATTTTCAACGTGGCATGGCCGTATACATTAATAGATAATTTATTTGGATGTTATAGGTTATCGTGCGGACCTGTGATATTTGAGAGAATATTTAAAATTATACAAGTAAATATTGAAACGAGTGTTAATTATTAAATAAATTCATTGAATAAAATTTAATAAAAAAATAAATATCATGTCAATTTGCTTTGAATAATATTTATTCGAAAATTGGCGGCAAGGCCTGGTTCTTCTGATGACTCATTTTTTCAACAAAAAAA